GAAAGTGGTGGAGCAGAGAGATTAGTGGGGTTGACGCTCTGCTCTTTGGAGGCCACAAAGCTTGTACATTCTCTTTTCATCTTCTGTCAGAAACAAGGGTGGTTTTGTCTTTTTTTTAGGAATATTTCTGTTATTTCTTCTAGTATGCTGCTTGGATTTACCGTCTTACCTTTATTCATGTCAATAAATATTTATTGGAGTATCTTTTAAGTGCCAGGTATTGTTCGGTCTGTATTTATGGAAATCCCATATCTTGTGGTAAGAAACTCTTGTTGCATAATTCCACTACATTTAATGAAGTTCCGGTATAGTTCACCTCTGAATTTATTAAGTCTGAGGATGTAATTTTTTTTTTTTATTGATGTTATGATAGATTACAACCTTGTGAGATTTCAGTTGTACATTTTTGTTAGTCATGTTGTGGGTACACCACCTCCCCCTCTGTGCCCTCCCCCCATCCCCCTTTTCCCTGGTAACCACCGATCAGATCTCCTTATCAATATACTAACTTCCACCTATGAGTGGAGTCATATAGAGTTCGTCTTTCTCTGACTGGCTTATTTCGCTTAACATAATACCCTCGAGGTCCATCCACGTTGTTGTGAATGGGCCAATTTTGTCTTTTTTTGTGGCTGAGTAGTATTCCATTGTGTATATATACCACATCTTCTTTATCCAACCAATCAGTTTCTGGGCATGTAGGCTGGTTCCACGTCTTGGCTATTGTAAATAATGCTGCGATGAACATAGGGGTGCAACGGACTCTTGAGATTTCTGATATCAGGTTCTTAGGATAGATACCCAGTAATGGGATGGCTGGGTCATAGGGTATTTCTATTTTTAACTTTTTGAGAAATCTCCATACTGTTTTCCATAGTGGCTGTACCAGTTTGCATTCCCACCAACAGTGTATGAGGGTTCCTTTTTCTCCACATGAGGATGTAATTTTAATATTCTTCTTCTGACATTTTGCATATGATCTGGCTTGAAAGTTCCCATAAAGCTAAAGAAAACTGGCTCCTCATGAGGAATTTCAGTGCTTTCTTCAGGCTACGATGACTAACCACAAATGCAACAAAATCAGTGGAGCCTGCATTTAGATTCTGTTCAGACTAACTTCCAACTCTTAAAAACTCAAGCATATATTTTGCACAGTAAGTTACAAGTTTATTTTCATAAAGGGAAAAAAGAAGTAGGGTGATGTAATGAAAAGCATGTAGAATTTAAGTTCTGGCCCTACTATTTGTTAACTGTGTGGCCTTGGTGAATCACTACTTCCCTTAGCCTCAAATGGGAGTAATTATAATGGAATGCTTCAGAGTTATTGAATTTATTATGATTGAATAACTTCAGAGTTAATTATGAGTGTAGTTTATTTCCTTTAATAAAGTGCTCTCCTAGTGGTTGTTGTTGTTGGGCAAGAGATGGGACAATGGAAAGAGTGAACACAAAGACAAACAGTCTCTGCTACATCTCAGTTTTCTCCTTTTCATAAATATGAGACCAGTTATGCTGCCAACTTAGCCTAGCTGCCAAGCTGTGACTGGTTAGAGGTTCCATTCCAATGGTGGTTAGATCATGTGGAAAATTGTGACTACTTAACGGCACTACATTCTTTCTTAAATTTTTAGGAAATTCTGGATATATCATTGCTGATGGTTGTCTTAAGTCAGTTCTTTTTTTCCTTTTTTTTTTTTTTTAAGATTTTCTTCCTTTTTCTCCCCAAAGCCCCCCGGTACATAGTTGTATATTCTTCGTTGTAGGTCCTTCTAGTTGTGGCATGTGGGACGCTGCCTCAGCGTGGTTTGATGAGCAGTGCCATGCCCGCCCCCAGGATTCGAACCAACGAAACACTGGGCCGCCTGCAGCGGAGCGCACGAACTTAACCACTGAGCCATGGGACCAGCCCCTCCTTTTTTTTTAAAACAGCTTTGTTGAGACATAATTTATATCCCGTATAGTTTACTCATTTAAAGTGTAAGATGCAATGGCTTTTGGTATATTCACAGAGTTGTGCATCCATTACCACATCAATTTTAGAACATTTTCCTTATCATTATCCCAAAAAGAAACCCTGCTTTCCTAGCCAATACTCCCCAGTCCTGCTGCCCCCCTCCCTGTTGTAAGTCTTCACTAATCTACTCCTTCTGTTTCAATAGATTTCCTTATGCTAGGCCTTTCATGTAAATGGGATCATATAATATGTGGTCCTTTGTGACTGGCTTCGTTTACCTAACATAATATTTTCACAGTCTATCCACGTTCTCTTTTTGTTAAATTAAGATTCTTAGAGGCACACTGACCTATCCTGTAGGAAGAAGAGATGAAGTTACTTTTTTTTTTTAATAAAGAAAGTTAACTGGTGTCCCATGACTGGTTGCCATTCACAAATGATGGGAAAAGCCCTATAAACAGTTACGATAGCTACAAACCAAAGAATGGTGTTCCAGTATACAATGTGGAAAAAGATTCATGTCCCATCATTCTTTTTAGCTGAATTTGTGTACATGAATAATGTCATGACTGTTGGTATATCTTTCAATAGAGATAATAACAACATGTAACTCTCTGGGACTACTGTAACTAAAACTGTTGCACCACTGTCATTTTTATTTGCTATTTTCCTTTTATAACTTATTTTCCTGCTGAGTGTTCTGTGTAACTCAGACATACTATATAATGCCTGTGGTTGCATGCTACATGTTACATGCTAAGGTCTGTCACATTCTACATTTTTTATTTTTATGTGAGCTTGATGAGTTAAATGCTAGGTATTTTATTTGGGGATAACCAATGATTATTAGTATAAGTAAGTTGTTGGAAACAGGATACATAGAAGTACAGTCCTCAGAGCATATTACCCCCAAATTTGTGGATGTAGTTAAAAAAAAAAAAAAAAGCCAGCCTTTTGACTTTGAAAAACTCAGCCTTTCTGTGTCTCAGGTTCTTTGTCTGTAAAGTGGGGCAATGAGACTGTGATACTTAATTAGTACTGACAGTTTTTAACTCTATGGTCCTGTGAAGGTAATTGGTAAATGTATTACTGATGGTCCCAGACTATTTCCTACATCACATTAAGAAGATTGCATTGTAATGTTGGATTCCCTGGTTCTAGGCAGTTACCTAATGTGGTGTCATGACGGAAGGCTAACATATGTATAGTATTAGCAAAAATCATATTTTTATGAACTAGAATTAAGATCCATGTTCTGATATTCCAAATGCTCTGTTAATACAAAATGATTTAAAATAGTACTCCCCTAGGACTTCTGTATATTAGCTAGATGGGTTCACCTGTTAGTGATAGAAAACCCAAAACAAGAAGTCATTTAAAACAAGATTAAAATTTCTCACTCATGTAAAAGTTGGCACAGGTCTGGTATGGAGCTTTATGGCATTATGGACCTTTTACCAATTATCCCCTTTTCCCTCTTAGCACTCTACCCACCTCTTGGGTGTAAACCATATCCTTATTGAGCAGGATGTTGGAATACACATTATAGGGACCAGGATGGAGAAGGGGATGAAGCAGGAGGAAGAGGGCACCTTTGGTGCTCTGTTAAGCATGATTCCTGGATACTTCCATGTGCATCCATGGCACTGGCCAGAACTGAGACATGTGGTCACGCACAGGTGCGAGGAAAGCTGGGAAGTGTGGCCATGTGCCCAGCTAAAAATTCTAATTATAGTGGAAGAGAGGGAAAAATGATACTGGGGGGTGGGGAGTCTCTACTACAACCTGGTTAATGATAAACAAAAGGGAACACCAAGGGGCGGCCCCGTGGCCAAGTGGTTAAGTTCTTGTGCTCCGTTTTGGCAGCCCAGGGTTTCACGGGTTTGGATCCTAGGCGTGGACATGGCACTGTTCATCAGGCCATGCTGAGGCAGCGTCCCACATAGAGCCAGAGGGACCTACAACTAGAATATACAACTATGTATTGGGAGGGCTTTGGGGAGAAGAAGAAGAAAAAAGAAAGAAGATTGGCAACAGATGTTAGCTCAGGTGCCAATCTTTAAAAAAAATAAAATAAAAGGAGCACCAAGAGGCACTTGCCATTATATCTCTTCCTCTAAAGAAGGAGGGTTCTGTGTTTCTGGTAGCTGATATTGGTTCTCTAAATGGAAATGTCGTTTTAGAAGAGAAGAGCTGACATTGTAATGGAAACATCTCTTAAGAATATGTCATTCTCTTTTGTGTAATTGGGTTAATGCATGGGATCTTCCAAGGGAGAACTACTAGATATATTTCCTGGTTTGAATTCATGACTTGATATTGTGATTTATGAGGCAGCTTCTTGGGAGCTTAGTTAGTGTGAATTTTTCCCACTAAGCCCAGTAGCCCCTGGGAAAACTGATCAAGCAGAGAATAGACCCAATCCTAGATGTAGTGACTTTACTGGAACATAGACTTTGTAAGGCTTCATCTGACCTGAACCACCCATCTCTCATTTCTCATCTTGAAGGGGGGAAAAAAATCACAGGTTTTTATAGTCTTTAATATATTCATCTATAAAATCAAAATAATAGTGCTTTGCGTAATGAAGCTTAGTAGTGGTCTTGTAAAATGTTTTTATACAGGAAAGAGCTTCCAGGGCTAGTGATGTGGCAATCCTCGACTCTTAAAAACCTATTTAGAGGTGAATTATTCACTGTTCTGGAGTGATTATGACCTTTTCAGAATTTTTGAAAACACAAAACTAGCAGAACCAGACTCACTCTCCAGAATATTGAAATAACGTTTTATCTGTGCCACTGTCTCAGCTGTTCCATTGTCTGCCTGAAATCATCTTAAGGATGAAGTCTTCCCATATCTTTTTTTTTTTTTTTTTTGAGGAAGAGTAGCTCTGAGCTAACCTCTGCTGCCAATCCTCCTCTTTTTGCTGAGGAAGACTGGCCCTGAGCTAACATCCGTGCCCATCTTCCTCTACTTTATATGTGAGATGCCTACCACAGCATGGCTGGCCAAGCGGTGCCATGTCTGCACCCGGGATCCGAACTGGTGAACCCTGGGACGCCAAAGCGGAACATGCGACTTAACCGCTCTGCCACCGGGCCGGCCCCCCCATATCTTTCTTAAAAGAACAAGGTGATCCCAGTAGACAAAGGAGGGACTTTGAGGCCTTTCTTAGGACTATAATACGTAGAAATTTAAGATAATTATCACCAGTGTCAAACTACCAGGCAGCCTGCACACTTTGCTGGATTCATAACTATTTGAGGTTTGCTGAGTTAGTCATAAGCATCTTAGATGCTGTTTTATGGCTTTATAATTCTTCTCCTACAAAATTAAGATCCAAAAGCTGATAGGCTTTTGAGTTACACCGATTAGCCGTCTGGAAGTTGTTGTTGAAGAAATGTAGCTAAACTAATGCCCGTTTCCTAAAATTCCTTACTCTGACTCACTTCAGAAAGGAGTCCACTTGTGGCCCAGGCTCAGAGATTTGAATCTGAACCAGAGTGTCCCAAGGAGATGTGGCCCAGGCCCAAATTATGCCTGACTCAGGAAAATTCGGACACCAACCCCAATGCCAACCTCACACCGAAGAACGAAAAGAGACCTTGATGATGACAAGCACTGACTATATGCCAGGCATACCCCCCCAGAGACAGATGTTGTAACTGTACTCATTTTACACACGAGGAAAATGAGACTTGCCTACAGTCCTGGTTTGGGAAGTGGCTAAGCTTGAGTCTGCACTTAATGCCTGGCATCTTTCGTGGAGCCCACTTTAACTGCCGTGGAGGCCTCTGATTTACCCCCATTTCCTGGCTGATGAATTTCTAAACCACAGAGACATTGTTTTCTCTCATTTTAAAGGCAGTACAACAACAGAATCTTCTATTTTTCATTTGTTAGCCTGTTCGCGTTTTACCTCTTTAGAAGTGCTTGTGGTTTACTAAACTTCCTTGTTTCAGTTTTAGTACCTGCAACTTATGCCTTCTAATCTTTCCTCTTCAGGAATTCTGAGCTCTTTTAGGAGTCCTGAAAAACAGGTACTTTTTCTGGTAATTGAGAATTCACCAGCAGAGTCCTGTAATTAATGTGCTCAATGCAGAACCCTCAAGAATAGGAGGTAACCTATCGAGGTTTATAGAGGGCCCTCTTGCCACTTCTCCCACAGTAATTTAACAAGGTCTAGAGACTGCACCTTCCCAGGGGTTCAGGGTTTGAATTAGAGTCAGCTCAACAACTTAACTTAATTGTGTGCTACAATTTAGGAAAGGGGGTTCATATGCAAAGGAAATTTATTGTCTTCTAATAACCTTTTGTATACTTGAATTTAGTTAAGTTACCCTGTCTGTAAACTGAACAAAACTCAAGTCCTTTAATTTAAAAACAAATTAATCTTTCATGACTACTCCATTAAACAAGTTGTGTTGATTTCTGTCTGATACCCTGTGCATTTCCAAGGAGTTACAACTTTTATTGTTGATTTATTTTTCAAAAGGCTATCTGCCTTTTGAAGATAAAAGATTTTTGAACCCTGATATCTTAAAAGAATTTCCGGTAGTTAAGTACCAGAGAAGATTATAAAAGACTGGGAATGCAGAGGAAACTTCTGAAATCTAGGTGGTAGAGACTGGAGCACTTTGAAGGAAGTGAGGTAGTGGTATTAGCCAGGAGTGGCAGCTTAGGTACAGGCACAAAACATCTCAGTGTAGGATCTCTACCCAAGGTGCTGCATTTGGGGGTCGGGATCTCTACACGTACAGAAATGCAACCTTACCTTTCTCAGGGATAACCGGGGCCTAGGAAAAGCTTGCTGACCAAAGCTCACAAGATTGCCAATTTATAGATTGGTTATGAGAAATAGAGTTTTCAGGTGAACTTGAACGTTGACTAGGCATGAGTTGGTAAGTCGCTTGGGGAAAACAGAATTAAAATCAGTATATAACTTCGGTGGATTTAGAGTTAGAAGAAAGAAATATAAGTGGTTTTAAGAAGAGTTTCTCTGCTAAACTTGAAGTATTCTTCCCTGGCATAGGGATGCTTTGTGGGGGATCTAAGTGTTTGACATTCACTGATGCGCTCTGGATACGGCAGGAAATGCGTGCTTAATTCTATACATATAGTCTGTGCTTCTCTACAGACAGACATCTACTAACACATCCTCCTTTTACATCCTTTAGTACCATTGTCTCTACCAGGTTTTATGTGCGGATGTAGACAAATATTGGTCAAATACATTACTGATTTTTTACTTTAAATTCAAAAGATACAAAAGGATATATTCATATATAATGAAAAGACTGTCCTCTCTAGGGTCCTCATCCACTCACCAAAAGCAGCTCATGTTATCAATTTCTTGGATATCCTTCTGGGGATAGTTTATGCATATTCAAGCAAATTCATGTATTCTTTATAGTAGTGAAATCTACCAAGTCCAACTAATAATAGATGTGTTTGCGGTTTCATTGGCCTCACATTGTGCAGAGCTGTCAGCTACGGGCCTAGCTGCAGAGACTCCACATCTACCTCTGACTGTTAATACAGACATAGAACCTGCCATGTAACGCTCTTAGGCTCAGGTTATTTCAGTAGGGCCAGGTACTGGCCAGTCCAGTGAGGCTACACTGTGGCTCAGCAGCTGAACCTCAGTCACAGGTCTGCGGGAATCATCTCTTCTTTAATTGGTCCGAGTGAACAGGGGTGTATCCTGGTTTTCTCGTATTTATAGTTTGTTCTTGAGACTATCTTTGATTATGTTAGAAAACAAAAAGATTGTATCCTCTAAAGCATGGACTGTGTTTGGGCACAGTCCTATTTGGGCGGGGTCTTAAGAGATAACTTGCCAATTTGCTATTTTGTTGTCACAAAGATAAGCTAGAGATCAGCTGGTCCAAAACAAAAGTTATGTTTGGTGATATGTATTTTTCATAATTATTTTAGGTGATATATAAGTAAAAAGCTCATATAGAAAGTCACTATGTTTAGTTGCCTTGGTGTATATCTCGCAGCTAGGTTTTGTTGGAGTGCTCACTGCTCAGAGCTGAGTGTTCTATGGATGCTTTATTTAGATTTATTTTTATGCAGACAGTTAGTTGCACCTGCCCTAAAAATTTTTCCCAGGTTAGGCTCCAAAATAAATATACAAAAAGCAGTAGCTTTTCTCTATGCCAGGAATAACCAGCTTAGAAAATATAATGAAAAAAAAAGATCTCCTTCATAATAACAACAAAAATATATATACTAACTGGGAATAAATTAAGGAAAATTATAAAACCTATATGAATAAAGTTATACAAATCTACGGAGAGGCATAAAATAAGATTAGAATAAATGAAAGACATATCATGTGCCTCGATATAAAGACCCATTCTCCCTAAAATAAGCTATAAATTTAATATGCTTTCAGTCACCTTCCCAACAGGATTTTTTTAACTTCATCTGAAAAAAGATTGTCTAAGAATAGCCTTGAAAATATTAAAAAGGAAGAATAATGATGGAAATATCGCTCTATTGTGTATGAATTGTTGGTATGCTAAAGTTGTATTAAAATAAAACTTTGAGCGCTGATGTGGGTCATCATAGACGGAAAAAAAGGAATAGACTACAAAATCCAGAAACAGACCCAGGCATATGTAAAAAGTGACTCTGAAACAGGTGCAATTTTTAGACAGTGGAGAAAGAATTTTATGAATCTTATTGGAAGAAATGACTAACCACTTGAAAAATAACTTTAGGTCTTTTTTCCATGCCACAGATTCAAGATGGATTAAACATTTAAATTTAAGATGCAAAACCATGTAAGTATTAAGAATATAAGTATTTCTGTAATTTGGTGTGGGGAAATCAAAGATAGAAGCCATAAAGCAGGGGCACAAACTCAGTGCCAACAGGGCCAAGGCAGGAAATTGAATCATTTGCGTATGCTGGGTAGAAAACAAAATCATGCAATCCTCATTTTCTCTTATTTTGATTTTTTGATAGAGGTAAAAATGTTTATCTTCTTTGAGAAAAATAACAGCATGAGCACAACAATAAGTGACCACCGACATTTGGTTCAGAGTTTGGGAGTGGTGGGGGTGACAGAAATTGTGACAAATGAAAGCATGCTGACCTAGGTCCAGAGGTGCACTCACACTAGTCTGTAAGACTGTCCCTTGCTCTCGTCCCATTTGTACAGCAACATGGCAGCTTGGAGGCCCCAAGCCCTCTCAGGCTATTGTTGCCATGCAAGAATGAAGCTCAGAGTTATCAGATCTTCTGATCTTTTTCCATATAAAGCTGGAAATTGCAAGTTTTATGTTGAATCTCTCAAATTTAAACTGTTCTCTCAATTTTTAAAACTTTGTATAGGGCAAGCAAAACATATTCACAAGGCCGAATTCAGCCCGTAGGCCTTGAGTTTGTGAACTCTGCTGTGTAGTTTTGGTTTTGGTTTTAGAACTATGGTTACCTTTTAAATGAGTTCGGATGCTTTCCATCTTTTTTTTTTTTGGTCTATACTCTGGATCAGTTTATAAAGCAGAGAAATTATCTGTACAAGTTTAGATGGAGTTCCATCTCCATTGCCATCAGGGTCTGAGGCCTTTTTTTGAAGACAGAGTTCCATATTTTTAGGATTTCTTCTAGAGCCAGTTTTTGTTATTTATATTCCTATAAAATCATACATTTAATCTAGGTTTAAGTGAATTCTCTTATAGATTTTTCTGTTTTAACCTTGGCCTATCAATATTTTTTTATCTCATTCTTAGTATTTTCTTGGTAGGTTGGTTGGTTGATATCATTTCTTTTCTGGATTTTTTTTTTTAAGATTTTATTATTTTTTCATTTTTTCTCCCAAAGCCCCCCAGTACATAGTTGTGTATTTTTAGTTGTGGGTCCTTCTAGTTGTGGCATGTGGGATGCCGCCTCAGCCTGGCTTGATGAGTGGTGCCATGTCCGCGCCCAGGATTCGAACTGGTGAAACCCTGGGCCGCCGAAGTAGAGCATGCGAAATTAACCACTCGGTCACGGGGCTGGCCCCTTGTTTGTTTTAATTCCTCTATTTTTGTTTGACCTTTATTAATTCCTTCTTATGGTTTATTTTGTTTGATTCATTATTTTCCCGACTTCTAAAGTGAATTCTTCTGTTCATTTATTTTCATAATTCTTTTTACATTGATAATACAAGTATTGAAGATTATTAATTTTTCTCTCAGTACAAGGCTTTTTCCCACCAAAGTGATTAATTTGTAAGTGTTCTGTGATTTGTTTTGGCTACCTCCTGGATCTAAGTCATTTCAAAGATTATTTGTTGAATTTCCAAGTAGTTAGTTGTCCTTTTTTTAATTTAATTTTATTTTTTTTAAAGATTGGCACCTGGGCTAACAACTGCTGCCAATCTTTTTTTTTTTTTTTCAAGGATTGGCACCTGGGCTAACAACTGATGCCAGTCTTTTTTTTTTTTTTTCCTGCTTTGTCTCCCCAAACGCCCCCCTACCCCCGTACACAGTTGTATATCTTAGCTGCAGGTCCTTCCAGTTGTGGGTAGTTTTCTTTTATCGTCTTACTGTTGAGTTAATTTTGTTGCATTATGGTCACAGAACATGGTCTATTTCTACTCTTTTGAATGTTCTTTATGACATAATAAACAATCAGTATATCTAAAAGTAGATATTCCAGATTCGTTTGAAAAGAATGTTTTCTCTGTAAGATACAAAGTTCTAAACATATATTTATTATTTGTTAATGGTACTGTTTATATTCTCTCTCTCTTTTTTTCAACTACTGATCTGTTAAATTCTAAGAGAGGTATATTAGGCTCCCACCATGGTTATGTTTTTACCAGATTCTATGTTTCTAATAAACTTTGCTTCTGTATTTTAATGTTATATTAAGTAAAGTTTCATATCTGTTATATCTTATTTGGTAATATATATCTCTAATTTTTTTAATCACTATAAAACATCATTGTTCTATATAACTTTTTTTTTCCTTCATTTCTACCTGTTTTGAAACTGGCACTCCTACTTTCTCTTTGATAATATTTGCCCTCTATATTTTTGTCCATTTTCTTATTGTCACCCTCATTTAAAAATTTCTCAGAGTCATTTTAAATGTTTTCTTATAAACAGCATATAGCTGATTATTGTTTTATGTAGTCTTAGAGTCTCTCTCTCTTTTTTTTTAAAGATTGGTACCTGAGGTAACATCTGTTGCCAATCTTTCTTTTTTCTTCTTCTTCTCCCCAAAGCCCACCAGTACATGGTTGTCTATTCTAGTTGTAGGTCCTTCTTGTTGTGGCATGTGGGATGCCGCCTCAGCATGGCTTGATGAGCGGTGCCATGTCTGCGCCCAGGATCCAAACCGGCGAAACCCTGGGCCGCCAAAGCGGAGTGCGCGAACCTAACCACTCGGCCATGGGGCTGGCCCCAGAGTCTCTTTAAATTGGGGGATTTAAGACATTCATTTTTCTTAAATTAACTTTAAATCTTGTTCCTACCATTTTATTTTACATTTCTTTCATTTGCTTTCTTATGACTATCCTCGCCCTTTTTTCCTTTCTAGATTTTACTGAAATTATCTTTCTTTGCTTTGTTTTCCCCCTTCCTAATGACAAAAGTTAATACATCCCATTTGTGGCTCGCTACATTTTAACACACATATTTGTTGTTTGATTTATTTGTTTATTTTTTTGTAGATGCTTTTTATCAAGTTGAGGATGTTTATCAAATTTATGAAGTTCCCTTCTATTCCTGTATTTCTAGGAGTTTTTATAATGAATGGGTGTTGAATTTTGTCAAATGCTTTATTTTGAATCAGTTGATATGATCATTTGTTAGTTTCTTCTTTAGCCATTTAAGACAGTGGATTACATTGATTTTTTTGAATATGAAACCTACTTTGCATCCCTAGTATAAACCTCACTTGGTCATAGTGTAAAATTCCTTTTATAAGTTGTTGAATTCTACTTGCTGATATTTTGTTAAGAATTTTTGTGTCAATGTTCATGAGACACCGTCCTTAACTGGTCTGGCTATCAGGGTAGTATAGTAGTCCCCCTTAACCATGGTTTTGCTTTCTGTGGTTTCAGTTACCTGCAGTCAAACAGGGTCCAAAGATATTAAATGGAAAATTCCAGAAATGAACAATTCATAAGTTTTAAATTGCATGCTGTTCTGATTAGCATGATGAAACCTTGCACTGCCCTGCTCCATCCTACTTGAGATATGAATCATTGCTTTGTCCAGCATATCCACACTGTCCACACTACCCTCCTGTTAGTCACTTAATAGCCATCTCGATTATTAGATCTACTGTCTTGGTAGCACAGTGCTTGTGTTCAAGTAACCCTTATGTTACTTAATATTGGCCCCAAAGTGCATGAGTAGTGATGCCGGCAGTTCAGATATGCCAAAGAGAAGCCATAAAGTCCTTCCTGTAAGTGAAAAGGTGAAAGTTCTCCACTTAAGGAAAGAAAAAAATTGTGTGCTGAGGTTGCTAAGATCTGTGGTAAAAATGGATCTTCTATCTGTGAAATTGTGAAGAAGGAGAAGGAAATTCATGCTAGTTTTGCTGTCACACCTCAATACGTATATATGAAAACGCATAGTGTATATAGGGTTTGGTACTATCCATGTGTGGATGTTTTTAAGCATCCACCAGGGGTCTTGGAATGTATCCTCCATGGATAAGGGGGGACTACTGTATATTGGGAGAGTTGGTGATAGTTTCTGTTTTTTGAGGAATTCGTCTATTTTATTTCTGTTGCTAAATTTATGTGTGTATATCCTTATTATCCTTTTGATGTCTGCAGCATCTGTAGTGATATCTCTTGTTTAATTCTTGATATTGGTAATTTGTGTCCTCTCTTATCATTCTTGCTAGATGTTTGTCAATTTTATCAATCTTTTCAAAGAACAAAGCTAGCTTTTTGTTTTGTTGGTTTTCTCTATTGTTTCCCTGTTTTCAATTTCATTGATTTCTTCTCTTTATTATTTCCTTCTTTTTGCTTAACTTGGGTTCATTTTACTCTTTTGCTAGATTCTTGATGTAGGAGCTTAGATTATTGATTTGAGATTCTCCTTTTCTAATGTATTCATTTTAGTGCTATGAATTTCCCTCTGGGCACTGCTTTACCTATAGCCCCCAAATGTTGATATGTTGCATTTACATTTTCAATCAATTTACTGTGTTTTTTTAATTTCCCTTAAGACCTCTTTTTGATTCATGCATTATTTAGAAGTGTGTTGATTAGTTTTAAAGTATTTGGAGATTTTCCTGTTACCTTTCTGTTATTGATTTCTAGCTTGATTCCGTTGTGTGTGGGAACATATTCTATATAACTTCAATTTTTAGAAATTTGTTGAGGTTTGTTTTATGATCTAGGATATGGTCTATCTTGTTATATGTGCCATGGGCACTTGAAAGAATGTATTCTGATTTTATTAGGTAGAGTGTTCCGTAAATTTTGGTTACAATCTATTGGTTAATGTGTTGCTGAGTTTTTCTTTATGCTCCTAATTTTCTATCTAGTTGTTCCATCAATGGTTGAGAGAGGCTATTGAAATCTCCAAGTATAATGGTGAACTAGACTATTTCTCCTTTGTCTGATATTAATATTTTTTTGATGTTAATATAGCCACTGTCATTTCTGATGAGAAATCTGCTCTCTTTCAAATTGTTTTTCCCCTAAGGTACTATACATTTGTCTCTTATTGCTTTCAAGATTTTTTTTCCCTTGTCTTTAGTTTTTAAGAAGTTTGACTAGGATGTGCCTGGGTGTAGATTTCTTTGGGTTTATTCTGTTTGCTCAGCTTCT